AAAAATGATGGGTATGTGGGAGAAATAAGAGAAGGAAGAGAAAGAGGGTAATGTAACTATATTATCATTTCAAAAATAAAAGAAAAACACTATGAATTATAAATATTGTCATATGTACTTATTAACTGAACTTGTGCAAATAGAGCCATCTCCCCTGTTTTACATGATGAGGTTCAATCAGATCTGATAAGATTGTTTTTGAATGTTGTTTAAGGGAAATTTATCCATTTAAACTAGTTGTCAGAAGTTACTGAATTCATTTGATATATTTATTTTTAATTATTTTATTTTATTTTTGTTAAATGGCTGTTGGATACATTTCCATTGCTTTTTAACAAACTTCTTGAAGTCGTTAATATAATTTAAGGACAATTCTTTACCTCACAACTGCATTACTTGCAGCTGTGCCCATTTTCACCTTTTTTGTTGGTGGAGGTTGTAGTAGATAATTCTGCACCTTGTGTTGGTTGGGAAACAAAGTTACAGACAGATCAAAGCTGGCCAGGGTCCTAGTAGCTCCTTCAATGACACACCTACAGTGACCCAACATTTTACTGCATGACCACATCCCTTAACAGATCCTCTATTTCACAATTGTGCCATAGCTGGTACCATGGCTTCAGCACACGGGCACAGGAATAAACTTCCTGTCCAAATTACTGAGATGTTCATGCAACTCTACGACTCATTAACTCAGTCACTTCAATAGGTGTTTAGTTATTCATTTTCTTTAATTAGCCTTTTTGTGTAACGTGTGCTTGTGTGAGTATGTAAGGCCAGAAACTGATAGGAAATTATTTTTAGTTACTTTCCAATTCATTTTTTGAGATTATGCCACTCATTGAGCGCAGAGCTCCCCAATTGGCTAGACTGATGAATGCGTTCTAGAAATCCCATCTCCAAACTCCTCCCCCTCCCACACCAACTGTAGGCTGTAGAGTTACAGCATCACTCCCCAGCACTTTGCACGATGGCTGGGCATCGGGACCCAGGTCCTCATGCTTATGCACTTTAACAGATGCTTTTTCCATCCTATACTTATTCACTATGGTTCCTTTGAATAAAAAGGAACATGATTTAGGATTAAAGAAACACATGCACACAAACCAGCAATGACAGTAACAACAACTAAAGAAAAAAGAAACTGCAAATCAGAAAGAAAATAAGGGGGGATATACAAGAGGAGGTCTGTAGGGAGGAAAGGGAAAGGGGAAATGATGCAATTTTATCTCAAAAGCAAAAAATAAGTAAAATTTAAAGGACTGTCAATTATTTGAGTATGTTGGCAGCTTGTATACTTCACTCTCCTGTTTTGTAAGAGCAGAGCCTGGTCCTTCCTGAAATGAGATGTGGGCAGGTAGTTCACAGAAGAATTTAAGAAAATAATGAAGGTGGAGAGAGGCTCCATGTAATCAAATTCGTCAGACCAACTTGTTCTCTCTTAATGGGGAGACATATGTCACAGCCAGACTATAGTCATAGAGGTGAAGGTCTATAGTCTGGAAGTAAATGCATTTATGATCAGCACAGGGGCCTGATCATCTTATAGTGATGTGTCAATGTGTCTGTAAGTGTGAATTGGAGATGAGAATTGACTACATCCTAAGGGCTGCTGCTTCTGCTTCTGATGGGTGTAGGTGAAATGAGGAAGAGGAACTTGGGTGGTTGATTATCAAGGTCCCAGACACAGATGTAAATAAAGATAGGGTCTTTATCTGACTTTCTACCACCTTGAACCATTTGTACTACATCTCTCCATTTGTAGAACATTTCTCCTCTACAAATTTGAGGTGTTTATTTCTTAGTGGCTTGCTCCCAGAAGATTTGTAGTCAGTGAGTACTTTTTAAATTGAAAATGAGTTAAAAATCATCAGTGCCCATGTTATAACTCAGGAAGTACTACACAAGGACAAGTCATTTCTTCCTTGATGCCTCCTCAGGGCAGCAGAGTAGAGATGGTGATGATGATGGGACTCAAGGGAATGTGGGGTTGTTCCTAGAAGACATCATCTCCTTTCTGCCCCTACTTATCACTTGCTGAGTACCTCTGCCATATAAATTTATTATCTAGGAGATGGTGGGGAGGAAGCCATAGTCATCGGGCACTTTGAAAAAAAATTGCATACTGAAATTGACTGGCAGTGTCTAAAGGGAGTTGAACTAACTTTAAAGGCTACCAACAGGTGAGAAGCAGAGGAAACAGTGGTTAGAAATTTGAATTTGTTTGGAATGATATGGATGATCATCTTAATTTGGGTGTCTTCTGTTATGGAAAACACTGACAACTAGAACCAGAGACTGTAGTATTCCTCTCTTGGTACTCCTCTCATCCCTACCTCAAATAGAGAAAGGCTTGGAATCTTTTTCCCAGCCATCATGCCCAAAACTTCAGTGTGTCAGATGGGCACCACCATCTGCAATTTCCCCTGGTCTAAGGATATGTGTCACTTTTTCTCTGGATATGGGGTTATTTTCTGGAACAATCCTCTGAGATCAGTACTGTACTTTCAATATTAAGACATCTGTGAACATGATGATTCTCAAAATATTGCTAATACTTGAAGATATTTACTTGAAATTAGCTAAATTGGAAAAAAAACAACTTTACTGATCTTGGAACCAATGACAAGAGAAACAATATTGCCAACTCTCTGAATACTCAATGGCACCATTCCCATTCCTACCAACAACTCACCAGGATGCCCAGCAGAGAAGATTGTTGGCTTTGCCTGTCCTCTGCCTTTGATGCTCCTCCATTTCCCTGCACAGTGGAACATATGCTGAGAACTTTGATCCGTTGAGAACTCTTAATCATTTTCATGACCAGATTAGACATTTGGACAGCCAACTGTATGCTTACAAAGGGTCAGTCATGGTTTCTTGTTTTGTGTTTGGCTTTAAAGCTTCTCCAAGTGTAGGACTGAAGATGATTATTGACATTTTATAGGCAAGGAAACTAGAGCACAGTCATTCAGTTTTTTTTGGCAGGGTTGACTTATTGCACAGTCCTAGCTTTTGCATAAGCTTTCCTATAGTATAGGTTACTGCAGTAATAGAAGGGAAGCCTTGGGCAGTCAGAGCACCAATTAGGAGGTCCTGTTCAGCAGAATGCTTAGAGAAACCATGGGAGTGGCACGGCTGGGCCTTGACTAAACTTCTTGTCTAAAATCCTCAGCTTTGTGTAGATTCGCAATTTCCTTCCTAGGATTGTCCTGCTGTCACTGTCACCACATGGGATCATATGCTTGGCAAGTCTGAATGCTTCCATAGTCTTTTTCATTTTACACATATGCGGGATGTCCTTATTGCCCCTTTCATTGGACATTCATTTTAGAAAACTGGTCTCTTCATGGTACACACATGGTGTTCCCTTTCTTCAAAAATGTTTCAAGTCTGATGTTGCACACAGGGGCTTGCTACCCAAGGTTTCTAGAACTTTCTTCCACAGCATACCGAGAGAAAAAAATGAAGAGACAGAAAAAATATAGTGAACAGGCTACTACTGTGTTTTGAAAAACAGTTTTCAGAAAACATTTGAAAAACCTGGTAGCAGTCACTTACTCGTGTGCAGCACGAATGACAGTAGCCCAAGCCCTTGCTTCCCCAGGATCTGTGTAACTGGATGCCTTCCTCCTCAGTGTTCTGTCTACCTGTCTCTAGCTACAGCTGCAGAAGCAGCCCTCTCAAAACTATACTTTGACCTGCTTTGGCTGGTACTTGTCTACATTCCTGGAGCGGTGTACCTATTTCTTATAGCTTATGTGTACATGACACTCTTCCCTTCGACAGTGAATATTGTTTCTTATTACTGTAGGGGTTACTGTTCTCTTAATGCCACAAAAGTAACCTTAAACCAAGCTGTTATTACACATCTTTGTTCTTTGACTTCTCTGAGCCCTCTTCACCTTTTGTATCTTAAGGTGGGCTTTCCTTTGTGTTCTGTTTTCTCCTGAGGTATACTTGGGTTGACTATCTCTTCTTCTCATGATGTTTCTACTGCCCTGGTGTGTAGGGAGAGATCTTTAGGCATCTGCACCATTGACAACACCTGCTTGGGTATAGTCACAGGTGCATAGTAGTTATGGGTACATAGTAATGACAGGATATAAGAGTTTGGGGAGAGGAGGCATGCTCTCTCTTGGGGAGCCATCTCTCTTGGTGTGGAGATCAGAGTGTTCTGACCCCGGTTCTCGGCTTCTCATGTAAGTGGCTTCTCCCTCTCAAATAAAGATAGGATAACCCCCCGTTTCCAGTATTCTTGGCATGGCTAGTTTCTCATCCACAACTGTGCTTCCTCTTCCTGATACCATTGAGGCTTTCATGATTTTATCTGGAGGCACAAGCACCACTTGTGATAGAGGCCAATCAGTTGTTGCCCAAAAGCTACAAGTCCAGAGGCTATGGTACCTCATATTGCTGTCCTTTGTCTGTGCTCTGCTGTGTCCCCTGCTCATTTCCTTATTGAAATTGGTACTTCTCTGGTCTCTGATTTCTATATCACATATGAACTGCAAAGGTTATCGAACTATTGACAGTATCCATTTCCTTGGGCAAACCGATAAGTTTGTGCTTCTAAGCTGAACCCAACCAGTAAGACAGATTCTGGGGAACAGCTAGAAGTCAGGGTCTAAGAAGAAAACCCAGTGAATGCTGGTAAGAAGCAATAGTAGACCTTGGAAGGAGAGTTGTGTCATCTTCCTTACAGTAAACTTATCTTCAGAATCAAGTGCCCATGCCCTCTTCCTAATTCACAGCAACCCTAACAGGCAGTGGGAGCATACATCTATCTCTCTCACACGCACAGCACAGTCCACTGCTCTCTCCCCTGCCTCAGGTGCGCATCTCTTGAGAAGTCAGACAGTTGTATCCCATGTTAGTAGCAGGATGCAGCTTTGTCCCCCATGTCGTTACCTGTTTTTAGCTGCCATTCTCATGGTGCTTACAGAGTTTGACTTTTGGGACCTATTAAATGTAACCTGTCTTCTGTTTGTATTTTGCAGAAACTATCTCTTCAGATTACAGCTTGAGGATCTGTCTCTCATCCAGGTAGGTACAATGTATTTGTCTTAATTTTTTGTTTTCTACCTCAAGGAGCTGAAGACAGAGGCATGCAAAGTTGTTACTCACAGTGAACAGGATTCGTTTTTCTCAGTGGCCCCCCTCAGGACTCCCAGCTGACTTGCCTGATGTGCTCACCACCTCTAATTTCCAATTAGCCATTTCCTCCTGAATGTGGGCTTTTCATTCCCTGGACATCATCCTGACTTTCTTTTCATCAGATGATAACAGTGCAAGGCACATCCCTTGAGGCCTAGAAGCATCTCTTCCCTCTAGTTAGAGCAGGTATTGATTGTTCAGCTGGCAGCATCTGGCTATCATGTTCTTATGCAACACCTTTTGCCATTGTTCATCATTACATAACTACAAATGCATGGGTTAAAAGCCACGTAAAGTGAAGAGAAAATATTAACCACGAAAAATGAAATTTATTTCTGTTGCCACTTGGAGTCCAAGCTTGATACCCTTGTGCTTGTTTATTTTAGTGGCAGATCTAATCACCAGCACTTATTTTCTCCCTCTAGTCTGTTAGGATATTGTGCCAGACACAGTTTCTTCATTGACAAAATTGAAAGCTACCTTACCCATATGCTGTCTGGGAAAGCATGACTGGAATCACTTGAAGGAGGGGAGCACTGCTGTTGTCCCATAGTTGTGTGTAACTTTTGCTTTTTAAGTGACAACAGTGGATAAATCGTTATAAAGGTTTTATCTTGTTGGACAGAAAATTGCCTGCTCACGGTAGTTCAGTGTATAGCCTTAGTGATCTAATGGGCTGTTAAAGCTGTGAGGTTATTAATAAGGAACCAGAATGTTTAGCAAGCTACTGGCACTTCTTAAGTTAAACAAAATAGTAACAGAAATGCACAGAATGAAGGATATATCTTATAGGTAGATCTAAAAGTGACAAATTCAAAGCAGCAGGGAATATAATGGTGGATCCTGAAGTTTGGGAAGATACAGAAGGGGTTAAAATGATGTTAGTCAAAGTGTGCACAATTCCAGGTAGACAGCTTGATAATTGTAGTTTTAATAAATGTACTGTGTACTTTAAAACTGTTGAAAAGAGATTCTCTCCACAGAATCATAATAAATGTGTCAGGTAATGCACAGATTATGTAGCTTGAAGCTATTCCCCAATGAGTACACATATAATAAAATCATGTTTTATTCATGTAAGTATATAATTTATTTTTTACTGAGAACCAAGTGACAATTTAAAACAAAAATTTAAACAGAATTTTTAAAAAGTATTGAGTAACCTCATTAAATAGAGACCATTCAATATGTCCATTTCTATTCTTATGGCATCCTACAGTATCTAGCTTCTCATCTATGGAACATGGGCCATGAACTGGGGAAATGGCTCATTCAGACCCACATTCAATTGCAGAACCAATGTGTTAAGGCAGGGGTAATGGGCTCTTGTAATCTCAATGGTAGGGAAGTGGAGTCAGGTGGATGGATCACTGGGCCATGGCTTGCTGCCTAGAAAGTTTATCCTACTTGACGAGTTCCAGACCAGTAGAGACCCAGCCACCAATTAAAAATAAAAGGTGAATTGTGCTTGTGGTGGTCCCATCTTCCACATGCATACACATGCATGAACACAGGGACTCTCATAGAATTATGTATCTGCACAGGCATGAATATGTGCACACACCCTAACACAGGCACACAGTGATTGTGTGTGCATTTGTGTGCAGAGAAGTATTCAAGAAACAAACACATTTATTTATTCATTTCTTCCTTTCCTAACTCTCAGGGTTTAGGGATTCTGGAAACATTAAATTCCAGGAAAGTGAACAAATCTACCACCAGAAGCCCCCACTGTGGGAAGCCAGTATTTTTTGGAGAAGTGATGATTCCAAGATGGAGAAAGGGTGATGTTCCATCAGATTGAAGGAGCTAGTTTTAGAAAGGAAGGAGGTGTTTGAAGACAGATGACAATCTGGCAGGGCACAGGAACCATCTGGAAGTGGGCTCCCTGCAGAAATGGAGAAATTGATTGCCAGGAGATGGTTAGAGTAGCAGACTATTGGACACTGAATCAGATAAGAATTCTTGAGCTTATGTTGGTGTTAAAATAAAAAAAAACAGGCAAAAAAGCAACTAAAATATTGATGGGAAAATTTAATAGAAAATTAGGATTTAGCAACTGTCACACTGAAAACTCCATGACATAAACGTCATCTTTGGGTGGTAAATGTATCAACTGGATTTGATGACAACCAGGGTATTGACATTCTCAAGGCATTTATCAAGATAGTGGAAACCTTGCACCTTGACATTGAAGAACCCTACTGTGAACCTATAACCAAGAAATATATCATGACTTCAGTAGTAATGGACCAAGTGTCTATGATAGTTCTATACTGAAGATGCAGCAGGGTTTCCATGGCAACCCATCAAAAACTATTAACAATCTCATCATATAGAAGCATCCCTCAAGCCTAGATAAACATCTTACAAAAATCAAGTTTCGACCTTTCAGATACTATAGTCATATGGTGTTCGTGTGTTTGAATAAAGAGTTGCTTCATCCAAAAAGAGAACATATAAAAATGTCTATCTAGTGAATTCTTAGTCCAAACTGATTTTTAAAGCATACTTTTTTCATACTATAAGTGACACTTTGACACAAGTCAAAAACTTGAAGGTCAGTAGATAAGATAGAATCTTAGTGTTTTATAAGTATACAAATATTATTCCTTTAATTTTTTAATTTTAATAGTAAGTGTTATGGAAGATAATGCCCATATTCCTTGGCAAACCATAACAAAATGCATGGGGTTGCCATAATTTGAATATGATGCATCCTCTGTAGATTTCTGTGTCTGGACACTTGTCCTCAGCTGGTAGTTCTGTTTGGGAAAGTTGTGGAACATTTACAGATGGAGCCATGCCAGAGAAAGAAAGCCAGGACAATGGGCTAGAGGGTGGAGGTGGGAGTGTGGCTTTTTAAGCCAGCTTGACTTTCTGGTTCCTTTCTGCTTTTTGACTGTGGGTGCAGCATGAATGGCAGGCTTCCTGGTGCTGCCACCAAGGCTTCCCTGCCATGATCCATGAGGGAATGAATGTGGTTCTCTGAACTGTGAGTCAGAATGAAGCCTTTCTCACTTAAATTTCACCTTGTTAGGTAATTCATCACAGCGAAATAAAAAGTAACTAACCAAAGGATAAAGGACGCTTCAATTGCAAGTTACTCTTGAGCGACTTAAGTTGTATGTGTGCAGTTCTTGCAAACACGTACAAAGTGATTATTTTGATAATGTACTAATGGGGAAGTTGGGATAAAAATCACAAGTGTTTTTAAGACTTCTTGACTATATGTAGTAATAGATGCAGAGATTCTTGGGAAAAGTCAAAGTCAAGGGGATGCCGATGAAGTTGGCTCCTCTGCAGGCTCTATGCATGGCTGGGCATGGCTTGCTGTTGCTCCCTTTGCTAGACCATGACCTCCTTCACATGCAAGTTTCTTACACATCTCCCCCATTACTTTCGACACGTCTGCCTCTTCTGATGGTGTCAAGCTGCTTCTTGGTTCCCCAAACACTGGTATTTCCCTTGTAGCTCTCTCTTGACTTATTCATGGACAAAAATAATTGGATCCTCCATCCTCACTTCAATCTTTTGCTTTGGATTCCATCATCCTAACTGTTGTTTGAGCTTTCTGTCCCATGAGGTCCTTGAGCCCCAAATAAATACACAGATATTATATTAGTTATAAAGCTGTTGGCCCATGGCTTGGGCTTCTTGTTGGCTAGCTCTGTCTTAATTATTAACACATAACTACTAATCTATGCATTTCTACATGGCCTTATCCTACCAAAGAAAATCTGGTGCATCCTATCCTCTTGGTCTCCACATGGCAACTTCATCTGCTTATGTTTCCCAGAATTCTCCTCATCTCCTATTCCCACCTATCTTCCTGCCATATTGGCCAATGGTGTTTCAGTCATCAGCCATTAAGAAAAACATACATACAGAAGGAAATTCCTATCACCTTAGGAAGGCTGACTGGTGGCCCGAAGGGATTCTCAGAACTATAACTTCTCTTTCTAATCAGTATTCCCTCATTATATGGCAATCATTCTGGGTTTTATTTCTCTCAGTTTGCTTGTTCACTACATTAGGATACCAGGCAGAATATAAACCACAGTCACACATATTCTAACCTCTTGGCATGTAGTATGTTTCACTCTTTTTTTATCTTTATTTAAGTTACATTTATTTACAATGTGTGAAGGGTGGGGGTGTTTGTGCACATACCATGACATGTGGGAGGATCGGAACATAATCCCAGGAAGTTGGTTCTCCTCCTTTGATGTTTGGGTCCTAGTGATAGAATTTAAGTCCTCAGAGATGATGGCAAGCCCTGATCCATTTTGCCAGTTCCTTCTTTGTCTTTTTAAAGTTCATATTACTGAGGTATGAGGTAGACTCAGAAATGCTCCTAAGGAGACAATTGAAAATGTCCTCTCTCAGTCCTGTGACTATTTCAGGGCTAGGGTGAGCAGGCTCTGAAATGCTCACCCCTTCACATGGCCCCTGCAGTCTCTATGTTTTCTGCTCTTCTATACAGTTCCTCTGTCTCAGATTCCAGTCAAGTCTTGACTTTGGATAAGCATCAAGGCTGAACCAGCACCTGTGGAAGGATGTTCCTCTTCTCCTCTCTTAGTGAGTTTCACAGAGTTTAAGAAACTCCAGTGGGGGCAGGGTGTTCTTCACTGTATGATGTCAGTCAAACATTGTTATTTGTTGTGAGATATTTGTACATTGTTTGAAGGTGTATTGTTGTGATTGGTGTAATAAAAACTCAATGGCCAATAGCTAGGCACGAGGTATAAGCAGGATTTTTGGGGAGAGAAATAAACACACAAGAGAAGCCAGGAGACATGGATAGGACACAGGCGTGGCAAGATGTAAGAAAAGTAACATCATGTGATAGAACATATATTAATATGAATAGGTTAATTTAAGTTATA